CTAGTAAGAAACCTTGAAAAAAAATGACGTGAGGGAAGAGAATAGTACTGCTGTACAATGAATTTGGTGGCTTGCTTTTATTAATCAGGCTTGCTATTTTTGTCACATATCAGCCTTTGATCTTACGAGGATTCTTCAGGGACATCATGGAAAAACTAAGAGCCAGATTGTAATTCTCCCATGACTATGATTCAGGAGTAATTGTACTGAAGTCAAATTAAACTAATGTGGAACAGATGTAAGTGGGTTCAGACAGAGTCTCAATACCATGCAGCTTGAGTTAGTACTTTTTTACATGGCAGATCTCTTACTAAAAAAAAATATGCTACATTATACTAATAGTGTGCATGTACTGTACTTTTTCAGATAGAATAAAAATATGAGGTAACTACTCCACTGTGGTCCTTGCATGCCATACAAAGGGATCGATATAAGACGTGTCTGAAAGCTGGAGTCTGGCTAATGAGAAAAGGTTACCAGAAAAGAACTGAGGATAAAGGAGGTGGTTACAAACTTTGAACCAGGTACCCCCTCTCCTGTTCTGGCATTTAGAGGGTAGATGCTTAAAGTGGGTCTAAGGATATGAATGATGTGTTAGGATATGAGAGGCAGATCCGTAGTGTATTCTGTTTAGTGTCACTGGCCAAAGGAACCTGCAGACAGGCTGTGGTAACTCAGGTCAGACCTGAGAAGATGCCATCCTGGCAAAGGTGTAGTTGCCTCAGGTAGACTCACTGATTTCATTGAGACCATTTCTTCCAATAAGTAAATTTTCTGTTCTCTGGATTCATCTCTGAATGAATGAAGACACAGCACTGCATGCTATGACTTAAAAAATGCTAACAAACTGCATGTAGTAGAAGACAATAAAACCAGTAAGTTGTTTTTCCTTGCACACTACATAGTAGTCCTGATTCTTAGTTAACTTTTTGATTACTAACTGCACTAAAGCTTCTGAAAAACATCTGAAAAAAAGATTCTCAGGTTATCCTAGATAGAAGCCTTTAAGTGCCCTCCTATACAGAAAGCTTCTTAGAGAATAAAGAAGTTATAAAAGGATTCTGCACTGATTCCTGTCCAAATTCATACTACTGAAGGATGGGTCAATAGTATATAAAGAACAGGATGCACTTCACTTGGGTTATTCTCTGGCTGTCTTGATCTGAGTGTAAATAACAGCAGTCCTGTGGCAACAAACTGAATGAAGAATGATCTTCACAGTCAGAAATACCAGATTTCAAACAACCATAGTTAACCATAAACTGAATAGTTATATACACAAATAAGCATATTGCAAAATGACACAAAGACCGTCTAGACTTCCATCTAACCATGTCTCATCTCTTCAGTGCATCCGAGAAATGGAACACACAAGTTACAGATGATTTCTATCTGCTATTGATGCATTTTCCCATCCCTGCTCACTGGAATTAAGTAGGTATAAGAACTATTTATTCATCTGTTCTGCTACGGCTTTCTCTGAGTTACATCAGAACAGCTTCTAAATCACTCATGCCTTATTACTAATGAACAGTAAAAGGGCACTTAGCATTTTATTTTTCTTTCAGTGAGGTTGCATGTAATAGAAAACCTCTTGTCTATTGTGTTGTGACTGTCACAGGCCCAGTCCTGTAAGGCACTGATTTTTAACTCACACCAACTCTGAGGACATTAAGGATGAATAATAAGTCCTAAATTAAAAGACAGACCAGACCTCATATAAAGTCGAGTCCTGAAAATTCTTATTCAGGTACTAAAGTAGATTGATCATGCTGTATTTAGTTTTTTGTCTTGGTGGTCTTTCATTTAAATATTAAAGATTACTGAATCCACTTAACTTATAAAAGTTGACAGAGTAACAGCTTGAAACACTATAGCTTCAAGGCACCCGTTCTCCTATCATGAGAATTCGACATCACTGAGGGGTGAAAGGCCTTTTATTTGCATAAGATAATAGTTACGTTTCTATGCAACAGCTGCGCTGTCAGTGAAAGATGCGCTCATTGTGCCAAATCCATCTCTGGAGTAACCCCATTGATTTTAAATGAGTTACTTTGGGAATAAATTGGCCCACTAGATAGAACTGCAGGTCTGAGGCACTGAAATAATTGAGCAAGATTTCCACGATCATAACATCGTAAAAAATTGCAAAACAATTACATGATGTCATGCATTTATGTAGCTGACAGATCACAATTGATTTGCCACAAGGTTTTAAAACCATATAGCTAGAGCAAATGTAGGCCTTACAGACACTTTTTGGTAATATGGGAACATAAAGATGATACAAGAGACAGGAATATGGTATTGTGCCATTATTATCTACTTAGTGTTACTGTAAGTCAAACAAATATGAGATGTCTCCCTAAGGACAGTTTAATAATAAAGGATTCATATGGGCTACATGAAAGTTCCTCTTCTTTAGACAGTAACAATCAGGATCTGTTTCTGGTAATGAACTACCTGAAGATTTCACCTATAAACTATAGACTTCCTGCATATGTTAGCAGGAATTTAATCCTGTTGGCCTTTCAGTTTGAGTCTGTTTGAGTCTGGTGATCTTAGGCGAGTTCTCAGTGGGCAGATGTCTGTGGCACAACACCCACCTCATCAGTTAACTGCTGATAGTTATGGCACAAAGACAAAGTAGCGCTTGGATTAGGGTAACTGACTTATAAATCGCAATTGAGTAATGTATGTCTATATGTTACTTTTTCCCAGTAGTGTACAAGGAAGATGCCAGTAAACTGGAAACTGTTTTGAATGCTGAAAAAAAGTTATACATGCATATATAGATAATATATTTGTGTGTATAAACATATACGTAGTTCTTTATTGATACATATTCGATAAGTGACCTTTTGGGGGGTTCAGAAGCCTTCTTTGAAGAGTTTTTGGCTATTAGAATAATGAAAAGGTTTCCCGATCATGATTCGAGTCATAGCACAGCACAGTTAGCAAAGCTTACCCTCACTTTTGTTTCCATTCAGTTTGCAGAAGTAACATCAACAGGAATCCCGAAGCCTGTTCAGAATGCATCGTGGTTTGATTGCAAAGGAAATACCTTGTGCTCCTGATGTCATCATTGCAATCATCTCAAATTCAAGTCTGACTGAGCAGGCTCATTATCATTCTCACCATGTCCTGTCTTAGAGCAGCCTCTCCCGCCTCCTCCTGTACAGCACAAAACAAGAGCCACAGGGGTGCTTGGATTAGGGAAAGGAGAGCACCTCCCCCCAACCCAAGAAAACTTGCTGCACTACTTTCATCTAGTTCCTTCAAACTGCATACTGCTTTACAGGACCTTGCACACCACCACCAAGTGAAGGTGTGGATTCACAAACACTGATTTCCCCTTCCCATTTAGGGTTGAACAAAGACTGAGGACAAGCATGGATGTGTGCCTTTATTTAGCTTCTGAATGCGGATATGAAAAGAGTGTGCCAGCCTCCACAGCAAGAGTTTCCCGAGGAAAGCCACACATTTCAGACTGCTTTTTTTTTTCCACTTTTCACTGGGACAAATTTCTCCCTTTCATCTTATAAGGTTAACTAACGTCTGAGCAACAGATAGGAAGGCAAGATAGAGAGGGCAGTTGAGCAAAAAGAAGTACAGGGCAAAAAGCAGGGACAAATTGTCTCGGGCACCAAGTTTAGATCACAGCCATGTTTCCTGAAAATTCAGAAGGTCCTGGCTATGGACCTCAGGACTGAATCTCTCCCTGACCCCGCAGCCCACATGGATTTGTGGATCTCCATCCCCAGCCAACGATCCCCTTCACACAAGCAGTTGATTTCCACTGTGGAAGAGAGGAGGCAGGACAGGGTTAACCTCGCACACTCTTCCTTCAGGCCCCCAGAGGGGCTAGGGTTTTGTTTTCCTGGCTAAGGGAGGGGAGCTCCCTGAGCTTAGGGGGCATTGTAACTGGAACTGGAGACCTGTCTGGTGTTACCAGCCTGGCTTGGGTTTGAGGGAAAGCCTGGAGTAGGAGGGAGAGGAGGGAGAATGCAGACTCTGAAAAAAGCCAGTGCCTGGTAACTGCAGGAGGTAAAGCCAAGTGTCCTCCACCTCCTCGAAGCCCCTCGAGAGCTTAGGGGGGCTCCGAGAGGCCTCCAGCCTGCCCCCCAGCCCTCCTGCCCCCTCCCCGCAGCCTGGCCCCATCTTTCAGCTCTGCCGCGCCAGCCTTTCCCTTGACGCCAGGTGTCCATCCCTGTCCACAGCACGGAGAGAGCGGGGACAGAAAGGGGAGCAGGAGTCCCCTGGCTTTCGGGGTGCCCGGTCGCCGGGAAGGATACCCAGTAAGTACCAGCCGGAGCCTGCCCCCTCCCCAGGGCACCCCGCCGCCGCCTCCTACAAAGGGACTCGCAGC